CTTTTACAAATAAAGGTTGTTTCAGATTTCTCCTAAATAACGATTGTTTAAGTGCCAGCGTTATGCATAATGAACAGAACGAACATTGACTGTAAATGATAGGAACTCCCAGCTGATTTAGTCAATTATTACAATGTAGCACGCAGTACATATCTGCTAACAAATCATGAATGTAGGTGATACTTGTAGTTATTAGAGATAGCAGTTGACATCAAGGTCATATCAAGATCTCTGTTTCGTTCTGGGTTTTCCTATTTCCTTTTTCACCCGGCGAGTAGTTTGGAGGCTTCTTGCTCTCTTCCTCTGCAATGATGCACTAATACACTGACGAATTTCAGCTCAAGGAGCGCTAGGTCCTATTAACGTAAGGAAAATGACTGAAATTTTCACATTTTTAGTGTATGATCAGCTGGTTAAAGGAAGACGAAAAAACATTGCCTTGGTAGAAATGTTGTATTACCTGAAATGAGGCATCAATCAAGTGGAAATAATCTGTGACCACCCTTGTTTTCAAGTAGAATTACCAACATATAGATTAAGCGTTATTTTATAGCATTAAGCGAAGTGGCTATATGGCCGGTAACTGGTCAAGGTTTTCAAAACACAAAAAGACCGGCAGTATTATATTCTCAGTGAGTATCCCAGTTTCTAAAATTCCAGCTTACCTAAATTATCATGTCGATTAAGAAAAGTCAAGCGATCCTGAAATGCTTTATAGATCTCAAGTCTAGCGTTTGAATGATAACTTTATTTAAACACGGTTAAAAACATCAGTCTAACAAAGAAAATTAATTAAAAATTCTCAAAAACTGTTTTACATATTTGCCGTGTGGGTCGAGCTACTGATCAGAAAACCATCTATGGGAACTTCTCTTAAAGAAACTCGAGGAATTTGATGTACGTATTTCCTCAGGAAGATTGTTCCGTAGAAGAGCGCCACTGTAACTGAAGCTACGCTTCAGGTAATCAGTTCTTGGTTTTGGGAGCATTCAAATTTTTTCTTCGCGTTACGAAAGTAGTAATTCGTTGTTCTTGGGGCAAACAATACAGAGATAAGCTGGGGCGAGATTATTAATAAACTTGTACATTAAATTAGCCTTTTGTTTAGCCCTTCTAACCGATAAATTGGTTTACGCTGGGCTCAGAAGACGAAACCTGTGTTTTGTGACACTTAATTGGAACTTTTTTCAGCTCGACTGCCGGTCAAGGTTTTCAAAACATTAAATGACTGGTAGTCCTATATTCTCCGCAAATGTCACTCGGCAAATCGAAAAAATCCAGCTAAACCAAACTATCATATGTCGATTAAGAAAAGTCAAGCGAAATTTACTGAAAATATAGGACTGCCGGTCATTTAGTGTTTTGAAAACCTTGACCGGCACGGTCGTGCTGAAAAAAGTTTTAAGTGTCACTCACAAAACATGGTTTTGTCTTAATTCTGAACCCAGCGTGAACCAAGCGCTATTCTTGAGATCCATAACGTATTTCAGGGTCCCTTGACTTTTCTTAATCGACATGTACGATAGTTTGGTTTAGCCGAATTTTACTGAACAGCGCAATTGCTAATTGCCATTGTACGTCAGTGGTTGGAATTTATCTGAATAAAAAATAGCGCATCTTTACTCTCACGATGGCGTTTTTCTTTTTAACCTGATAAAACAAACCATAAACAAAGGAACTAGCAAACAAATTCTTTGTTCCATTTTTAACCATGCCGTGAAACTCAGTAACACTGCTCAGCTATTAGCTTCTCTCATAAAACGTCGATCGATGTAGGTATATTAGAACCGTCAACTTTTGATGAAGGGGCCAAAGAAGAGAATTCCAAACCGGCAATAAAGAGACCAGGTCGAGACTAATCTTTGAAAAACCTGTCACTCTCGATTGTTTTAAATCCATATCTTGCAACCAAGGTGATTGTAAGGGTGTTCAGATTAAATTTATTTTCCAACGAAAGATTATATTGCATATAATCAGTTACCATAGATTTGACGATTTTAAACAACCGGTGTTTTGTTTCTTACTAAGCGAAAAACTTTTTGGCGCAGGGAAGGATGAAATGCAGACCTTCAATAAACAACAGATAAAAAGAAATACTTCTGCTTGTATTCAAGTCATTTGCACCTGCGCAAGAGACAAGTGGTACTGATATTTTTTAAAATACACCACGTTTTCGATAAGCAACTACCTTGACACATGAAATGATCACCTGACAGTGTGCTATGGGCAAAATTTAGTTAACGAAATCTGACAAGGTCGTCGGTTGAATTTACTTTAAGTTAAAAAAAATCAGCAACAACACAAAGAGAGAGCAATTAATTCAAGACTGAAGTTTTACCTGCGTTCGCCTTCAGAAATATGAAGACAAATCAAATTTTCTGCTGATTCAATTTATCTGAAGAGAATTCAGAACATTTTTGCAGTTTTGTTTTCATATTTTCCATTTTTTTTGTTACGTCACCTACGCCCAGTTCTTGAATTAGAATAGTGTGATCAATAAGATCAAATCCGTAAGCGAAAAAACTAGACCCGAGCACATGCCTCACCACTGCATGTCCACCGCCTCGTACAGTACTGGGTGGTCCTTGGTCCGCGTGTAAAAGTCATTAACTTGAATATCTTACCCGAATCTTCATGTAACGAGCTGAAATACTCCCTGAAGATAGCTTTTATGTTCCTGTCGATAATCCTGAAGTTTCAAGTTCCAGACATAAATTCGCAAACAGGCGACCGTTGTCGATGGTCCTTGGTCCGCGAATCTGATCCTTGGTCCGCGTGTCATGCAAGCAGCACGATAAAAACGTAAAAATGTTATAGTTTCCACATGAAAACGTGATTTTCACATTATTTCTTGTATTTTTTTTCTTTTCTTGATGCAATTAAGCTAAAGTTTTTTTCGGAAGATGTTGTGAGTATAACATAATCTGCTTTTCTTTCAAAGACTTCATACAACAGTCTCTTCGAGTCTCCCACACAAGCGTCGACGAGCGGTTTTTAGCGCGGTCGAAAATAATTACCAAAAACTCTGTATGTACTCGAGGTATTAAAAATGAGAACTTGTAGACATGTATAGGGACGACTTTCAAAACATTCTTCGAAAACAAAGGCCGTCGCTTTTTACGTTTGGACGTTTTATTCAACCAAGGACATAGGACGCGGACCAAGGACCGCTAAGCGAAATTTGGTGATATTTTTCAAGAGTCGCTAAAGCAAAAAATTCAGAGTCTACAGCGATATGCTAAAAACCTGTTCTGCAAAAAGGCAAGTCTTCCTGTTGCGTTTTAGTTATTCGTAGGCTAAGTAAACATGACCACGTAATTTACGGTGCCGCAAAAATCAAAACTTCAAGAAAGACAAATTAACCTACCTGTCAACAAACTTTAATTTCGCGTCTTCACCTGCAGCAAGAAGGCTGAAACTTCTTCATATGAAAGAATGCTAATCAGTTAATCACGATATCTTTCATTATTCAACGTATTTTTTTTCTTGACGAAATATTTTATCATTTTCGGAAAAGACGCGGACCAAGGGCATCGGGGACTTACGCGGACCAAGGACCAAATACTGTATATCGCTTGAAGCAATTTTGTATAGGAGAGCATCTAATGTCGAATGCCCCTTGCGAGCATACTGCCGAGGATCAATCTTGTCTTCCAACTGGGGTAGAAGTCTGGCGCAGTCGTAAAGCCCTCCATGATCTTTGATACTGTGCAGGTGAGGGATATCGGTCTTATATCGTTTTCGATGGCTCCAGGCGGGTACACCTTGGGAAAAGGGGTAACGATGAAGTACCTGAGCAGAGTTGGAATATACCCCTTCCTTAACGACTGGTTGTAAATGTCACAGATAATGTGAGCCAGTTCAGGTGCAAACTCCTTCAAGATCTTGTTCGGGATGTTGTCAGGTTAGCCTGCGAAAACATCCTTTTCTCCTCGCTCTTCGCCGCTGGTGAAGTTTCGCGCGGAGAAAGGTCTGCGACTCAGCGACAGAAATTACATAGTGATGACGTGGAGTGCCTGCGATGTAAATTAGCTGACTAGCTAAGTGCACCTTCCACTATAAACATGCCTTTAACCTTTTTTTTTAACCTAACGTAAATCAATGTTTAAAAAATAAATCCGGTAGTCATGGGGTTCCAAATGCGAATTTGTTCAATTTTACGCTTCTCCTCGTCGATTTTGGTAAAGTCTTGTGTTCATCTACGAACGAGCTCCAGCAAAACTCAAATGCTTTTTTCTAGAGAAGACTAAATTCCACAAATATTGACTGCTTGTTAGAGATTCTTCGCGTTTACGTTTGACCTTTGTGGCCTTTTGTTTTTTGTCTGTCGTTCGTAAATAATAGCTAAAACAATGTAACTACTCCGTCGACCAATCAGGGCTTCTGACCGGATTCCGGACATATTTTACGTCATCAGTATGGAATTTCTGTCGCTAAGTCGCAGATGTTCCTCCTCACGAAACGTCCCCAGCGGCGAGGAGCGAAGAGAAACGGATGTTTTCGCAGGCTATTGTCTGGTCCGAGCGCCTTAGAAATTTTAAGGGAGGACAGAGATCTGAGGACTTCCCTCTCAGAAACAAGGTATTCGTGTGGGACGGATACGGGCGTGGCACTTGACGTAGAGGGGCAAAGTGATCAGTAAGACCTACAATAGTCATTGATCTTGTTTGCTGATGACTTGATATCCATGTCATTGTCAAGGAACTGGTAGTGCCAATCCTGTTTGACGTCCTGGCCGGTCAGCCTTTTAATCTCTCTCCACCACTTTGCTTTATCCACTTCTCATATGCCGGTACGTGACCTTATGCTGCTGTTGGTCCCAGCGTATATAAATCTTTCAAAAACTACTAGACTCTAGATTATGTGACTATTTCAGGGGACAAATAAATGCACTTTCCTCCGCTTTCGTTCTGAATCAGTAACTTTAATGTTATATCTCTTCTATTCTACAAGTTACATTCACATTTAAAGATTTATGCTCAATCATAGTTCAGAAAAGG